GAAATTGCTTGCATATAACTTCCAATTGGTTAAAATATTCCAGGCCCCCAAAAGTAGGAGTAGGATTAAAAATACTGTATTATCATTATACAAGAAAATTAATAGAACAGTTGAAGTTCTTTGATTATATCCATATTTAAATATTCTGCTGCTAGAACAAAGAAAGTCTTGCTTATACCCTAGCTCAAAACATTCTATAGGCAAACTACTCCCTGGTTGGAATCCAATGCTACCTCTTTAAAGGAAATGGAACCTTAGTTGGATCCTGAGTCTTTTGTTTGAGGTAGAAGCATATCTACTCTCTATGCCTGAAATACCGGACTGGCTATTAGCAATACATGTTGAGAATAACCTTAAAAAAGCAGAACTCATTGATCTAAATCTACATGGGACTTTTGTTTGAGGTAGAAACACAATAACCTTGAAGGAATAGAGGTATGTTTCAACTCTCTGATTTTTGGTCAATGTTGAAATAAGCTCATATTTTGGAGCCTCCATGCCCTATTTTTGTTCTGTTTTTACTGATGTCCATATCCATTCACCGAAAGAGACTCATCTGCTCACACTCATCAATGCACCCTCACAGTGGCAATGCACAGTCTAGAAGGCAAGCAAAAGAGTTGAGTTGGAAAATGGTATAAGAAGAATTTATGAGTAACTAACCTGGAATGTTTCCAGATGTTGGTCCAAGCAAATTCTATCTTGGTTAATATGTAGATATTTTTTAAAAGCTTGCTAAAATTCAGGCAAAAGAAAACAAAATATACATTGAACACATGGTCACTTCATAGTATCGCTTTCCTTTGCAGATTTTCACAAGACATATTCACAACCACTACAGAATCTAAAATGAGAAATAAAACTGTAGTAAATCACAGATAAAGCGAAAAAATGTCAAATGACTAGTTGATCTATGAAAACTGATGCTCATGGAGAAAGATATGAGGGAGACTATGTTATAAACAAAATATTTGCCTTATCTTCTATTTATTATTTATTATTTGGAATAAGTATAAAAGATATTGAGTGTTTGAAATGTAGAACACAGAAGCTGTAGTGATCTATTTTTGAATGATTATTCAAAAACATTTTATAACGCTATAAGTGTAACTGATTCTATGGGGATTTGGATGATTGTAGAACAGCCGGATTCAGAAAAATTTAGAATTGAAGCTGATTATTTGTTCTCAAGACAAAGGAAGCACAGTATTTGGTTAGATATTCTGTTACTGTCAGTCCTGTAGTATAAGCCCACTGTGCAAGCTGTGTGAAACTCAATTTCTCTAACCATGGAACTGTTGTTCCCTTACAGGGATTTTGTGAGAGAATTCCCAGTGTGCAACTAGGAATTTTGACTGTGTGTGTCCTTCCTGTCTCAATGTGGATCATCTAATGAAAGCCACTGACATCATTTCTAAAGGCATTAACATAAAAATATTGTTTTGGCAGTCATGGCCCCAAATTTTTCTCAAAATGACATCCCCCATGGAGCCATAATTTCTTCAAGATTAAATGATGTCATGAAACTACCTGAATTTTCCTCATATATTTCTGAGCTAAATTTGGATCACATGCATATCAGGTGCACTGCCATGGGGGAAGAAAGTGTCCAAGCTTCCCCAGAGGTGAGGAATCAACTGGGAAATAAAGGAATCATGAATACACAAATAGCCTCTGCTTTGGCTGCAGAAATAAAAGCAGATGGGAAAATATGGGTACTCATATAATGTGCTGATCTGAAGAGCACTTCACCACACACACTGCCCAGACTTAAAGGAGGACAAAGATGTTTGCTTTGATTTTTATCTTCTTTGTCCTGAACATTCCACTCCTAGTGTCCAGGTTCACTGAACCCAGGTGCTTTTGGAGAATATATGATAATAAAGACAAGGATGAAGATTTGTTGACAGGTTGTGTCTTCTTCCTTATAACAGAACAGCGGCCTGTGGAGAAAGATTATTTCAACCACATTCTGAATATACAGTAAGTTTCTTTGAATTTTCTATGAAAATGTTATGTTAAATATTTCATAGGGGGTCATAAATATATGTACAACCACAGGCCATTATTTCCATAGGACAGTGTTCAGTGTCCCTTTAAAGTAAGAAATTTTTTGTTGTATAAATGATATGTTTGCATTCTTTGAAATATGAGATGTCACTAATAGTGGTGTCTGCTTACTTTCTTTTCACTTACCTGAGTGGCAGCTGCAGCATGTGAAACTTTTCAACACTTGAGAAAGGTATCTACTAGCTTCTTGCAATTATTTAAAAAGCACACGTTTCTTCTCTATAGATCTAAACTGTTTACTCTCTGTCAACACTATCTCACTTACATCTTCTTTTTCTCTTCAATAATTTTACTAATTACACCTCTGTCATTCACCAATTTGTGCACTATGCACTTTTGATTTTGTGCATTGTTGGTTGTTCTTTTCTAAATATAGCACTTTGATCACTATGCCACCACCAGAGCTCAAATCATCAATAGTTCCTAATGATTAGTGTGCAGGAGTTAGTGTTTCACTTCCATAAGTTCTTATCTCAAGTTCCTGTTAAGTGTATACAAAACTTTTGATGGCATTTTCTGTAAGGTAATAACAAATATTTTAAGAATGTTTTGTATGTAGAGGTAAATATTTATATTTATTCATAAAGTTACCACAATGGTAAGAAATCAAAATAGATAATAAATTGTTTTTTAAGTCTGAATGTATCATTTAGGATGAAAGCGAATGAGTTTGTTGTTTATTGTTCATATGATAGATAATATGTAAGGAGATATAGGAGTTATTATTTATTATTATTATTAGTTGATATTATTTAAGGGTAAACATGAACATAAAATGGTATTGTTGACTATATTATAAAAATCATAAATATTTTCCATACATTGCACACTTTATATTATTGTACTTTACAAGCTTGTTATACTGGCACAAACGAATCTCACTGCAATTTCCAGATGTACATAGTTCTCAATTGCATGCCAGTGTTGTGAGTTTATAACTGGAAACGTAGACAAAAGGTGCTCTGTACAAGAAAATTTAACTTGTTCAGATATACCAGGTACCATTACATCGAACATACCTTTGTGAGTATTAAATACTTGGACAGTATTGTGGTTTAGACCCTTAAACCTCTGCATTTATGAAATGGAGTAGGTGTATCATTATGCATTCAAGGCCAGTGGCAAATAAAAACCAGTTTTACTGAAAATTGTGAAATCCATTCCCTTTTATTGTCTATAAGAGTATTTCTCATGTCCATACACACAAATCAATTTATTTACCAAATGTAGTCTGATAGTGAAATGTATTAAAAATTAAATATTTAAAGAACATTTTGTACCTTTAATTGATAAGCCAGAAAGATAAAAATACAAGATAGTGATGGTAGACATGAGGGAATATATTAACTATATTGTCCACTAAATATGAAAAATTATTAGTACAGGAACCAAACATTACCCCCAAGAGACTACTGTGTGCTTACCAGTAATTCCTTGAATGCCTCCTCCAGTTAAGTTTGTTTCATAAAACTTACCTGAATCTTGGCTAATGCATTATGTGTACTTTTAATATTGCTCAATTATTTCAAACTGAATATATATGATCAAGTTTTTTGTATCACCAAAGCCTGTACCTTTTATTTATCCATTGTGCAAACACTAAAAACCCAGAGATGCATGGCCCTTTCTGTGAAAGTTGCAAATGGCTCATCTTATTGATGGGAGATTTACTTTCATGAACTTTTACAATTTTTTTAACCTTTCAGCAACTTATGTCATTCCAAACTCACAATATGGGACATTTGCTTTATTATTAAGGAAGGTTGTGAATATTCCAGTACAGGTTAATCCTTACTTTTACTACAAATTATCATATGTAGATCTCTTTCCATAATAAACACTGTTGCCTTTTATAGAACACAAACTGAAAACTGCCAGTTTGCTTTGTTCTTAAATATTTGCATTGGTGATGTAGCAAGAACCCTCATCTTTTAATAAATACATCACTAGTATTTCAATTACCAGCAGGAGTGCTATAATATTGGGTCACAATTACACAGTCTCATTCATTTTATCTGAACAAAATAAAGAAACTCTCCCTAATTATGTCTGTAATGGCAAGATCAGGTGCACTATGGCACTTAGATGACCTTATTGAACAACATCTGTCATAATAGTATTATTCACAGGCCTCTACAAACCTCAGCAGGTGAGTATTTTTGGATGTTTTTGATAGAAATCCTTGTCTTTATATGTTGAAATAGGAGCGGCGGCGGGGTTGCGTCCCCAACACCCCGGCCGCTTGGCTAGCTCATGCCCGAAATAACAACACACAAACTGTATTCATTTAAAGAACTGCTTGGCCCATGAACTCTAGCCCTTACAGGCTAATTCTCGCACCTGGACTAGCCCATTTCTAATGATGTGTGTAAGCACCCCAAGGTGCGCTTACCGGAAAGATTCTAGCCTAAGTCCATCGTGGGTTGCAGCTGCCTGGGAGAGCTGAGCATGGCGTCTCTGCTCCAGCAGAGCTGTCGGGTCTCTCCGGGAGCAGAGCAGAGTCTGACCTCACTTCCTCTTCCGCCCAGAATTCTATTCTGTTTACTCCTCCCATCTATGTTCCAAGCTGAGGCCAAGCAGTTGGTTTATTATAACTTAACCAATGAAATCAACAGATTGATATATGACACTCCCACATCACTTCCCCTTTTTCTGTTTAAAAAAAAAAAAAAAAAAAAAGAAGGCTTTAACTTAACATCCAAAACTCTAGAAATGACAGAGACATCTCGCTGCCTGGACAGTCACCCAAAGTTCCTCTGTACCGTTGGGGCATCCATCTTCAGCCTACAGGCCCATAGTTTCCAGCAGACATTTCCACAAAGCAGGAAATTTCAAAGGCAGTCACTATCTGCTTGTCCTGAAGAATGTCTTGCAGACTCTTTCATGAATCAGGAACCCCGAAAGATCATCTCACCTTTAGGCAAGTTCAGCAGTCCTCTCTCTGCGGGTTCTCTGTGTCCAGTTTATGCAATAGTCCAGGCAAGAGCAGTTTCTTGCCCAAATGGCTATCAAACTCCATAAGGATCCTCTTCGATGCCCATCTTCCTCTTGAAGTAGATTGGTGCTGCCAGGAGCAGAGTGTCTCATTGTCATGAAAAGTCCTAAGTTATTAAAACATGTAAAATGCCATATTCTCTAGCCTTTGAAAGATATGAAGAATGCCTATCTAAAATATATCTATGCACATCTAGAAAATCTTAACTAACATAACTACAAGCTTAACTACTATTAATGATTATTCATTAACAACCTATATACATTCAAAATTGACCTTAAATCTCTATCAATAAAGCAAAATCTATACTAATGCAAATTATTCATATCTATATCATTTATATGTACTATTCCCAGATGGTAAGAAAAGTGTGAGGAAGATAATGGCCACACATGGATGTCAAAAATGTGATGTTATGGGCTACTATTCAGAGACTTGATGGGGCTTTTACATTTCCTTGTGTGTAACAGAGATGAGAAAGATTAACAAGTGAGGGGGTTTTCTAGAACACTTGGCAGAACAGTGTTTGTAAGTTCTTAGGAGTGCATGCTACTCTAGCTGCTCCTTGTGTTCATTCAGCTTACCCATGCACTGCAGGTCATGGATTCATCTTATCTATGCACCTGTCCCTCCTATCCTAAGTGATTGTGTTCAGTTTCCCTCTCTGTATCAGATGCCCCACAGTGATGCATCTTTAGTTCTGGCCATGATTCCTTTCATGCTTCACTTGAACTAGAACTGGCTTGTGCTCATCATCTCAGACAGTGAAGATGGTGCTCAAGTTCTGTCATAATTGAAAAAAGTGATATTACATATGCAGTCTGCTTTCCATTTGTAAATATGATCACAGTCTACATGCATTTATACTTGTCAAGACCTGAAATATATGATAACCAAATCATGACATCATCCACAATTTATTTTTCATTTATGGTCACACAGTTCTCTAACTGTGTGCTTTAGAATGTAAGAATAATTAGGTATACAAAGAATATGGGTCACCACCTCACAGAAGGTTGGATGTCTCTATAAGAAATAGAGACTTCACAATTGACTCACCTGCTGAGATTTATGCTTTTTAGATTTTGACCTTACTTGGACCAATCTCAAATACTCAGATGGATACCTGGCAAGACTAGGTAGATGAAGTTTAGAAGTATCAGTTTCTATGTGGCAGAAACTAAAGAACTTCTCATTCAATGCCTCATTGGAATGACTAATGGTACAGACATTTGACATGGCCTTGATTGAGAGCAGTTATGATGTATACAGTACTGTGCATGCTGTGTCTCAAGCAGTCATGAGATTATTCATTAAGATGAACAGTCACTGGATGATAGGAAAATATCTGATATTAAAGTCTTGAAGGTAGAGTTCCTTTATTGGATTATATTTGGTGTCATCAATGTCATAGTGCTTAGAGGATCTCAGATGCCCAAATCTAGTATTTTAAGAAATATTCAACATATAGAAAAATTTCTGAACAATTTTCTGCTGTGTAAATAAATCTAGACTTTTATATAAAATTCAAATACAGACAATGATGGGGAAGAAACTAATTATCAATGGAAATTAGTGATTGCTACAAAGCACATGGATATCATCGCATACTAATATTGATAACATATCAGTCCTTAGTTATTAATGACCTCGTGTTGATAAGATGAACACTCCTTTGTTAATTGTCACATATGTGGTAAGTTACTAAAGGTGATGTTTTCCGTAAGTTTCTTTATTAACTGATTATTCCTCCATGTAGACTCTGGAGACCTCACATATAATTCTGAGAGTAATTACGGAAGAAACTGTGTTGTGATTTAATTTTCTGCATACATGCATATTCCTTTATGTGAATGGAGATTTCTCACTTTTTATGCATGTATGTTAGTGTGTTTCTTTGTATCTGGGTCT